ACAGAATCTGAAACAGGCTCCAGGCTCTGAGCTGTCAGCACAGAGCCCGACGCGGGGCTCGAACTCACGGACCGCAAGATCATGACCTGAGCCAAAGTCGGATGCTTAACCGACCGAGCCACCCAGGCGCCCCAATCGCAACATCTTTAATTTTAAAAAGGAGTAATGTGACTTATTATGTCCCAGTTCTTAATTCATGATCTCTTAATCATACTCACTTTCTCTATTTATCTAACCTCCCTGGACCCATCTGCCTTTTTTAGTGTCCTAGTACTGAGTATTCAAAAAGGTATCTGCCATTCCAGACTTACCTTCCCCTGGAAGAGCTTGGCAGCATTTTGGAATCTGTGCATGCTTTCCTCATACTCTGGGGAGGCCTTGTTCATCATCAGTAGAAGATGAATCTGAATCATGCTATTAAATAGGCCAATCGCAGTCTGGCAAATTGAAGTGTATTATAGTTAAATGGAATAGACAAGGAACAACAACAACAAACCATTAGTGGCAACCCAGTAAATAGGTAGGCTGAAATATAAATGAGAACTATCCACCCATAACACAAATGATAACTAGCCTCCATCTCGGCCCTCCATAAGTCTCCCCTTGGGCAGTCATGCAACTGTGTAGATCCCTGTCATCCATGATGAAAAAGGCTGAACTGAGCAACCATTGGGATATTGCAGAAATGACGGAGTGTGACTTCCAAGGTTAAGTCATCAAAAACATAGGGGCATCTGCCTTCTCTCTTCTATCACTCATGCTGGGGAAAGCCAGTCCCAGTGTTGGACACACAAGTAGCCTTCTGAAGAGATTCACACAGCACACAATGAAGGTCTTCTACTAATAGCCAGCACTGACTTGCCGGCTATATGAAGCAGATCCTATAGCCCTAGTCCAACCCTCAGATGACTGACTACCTCTCTGACCAATGACTACAACCTCACAAGAACCCCCAGATCAAAAGCACCTCGCCTAGCCTCTCCCAAATTGTTAACCCACAGAAACCGTGTGAGATAATCAAACTTTACTGTTTAAAAAAGCTGATAAATTTTGGGGTAATCTGTTATACATCAATAGACAACGAATATATCATGTAACTTATCAGTTACTTCTTCTCAGTCCCTTTCCATGTCGCAAGAGCAGTCAGATACACTTTTGAATGCTTATTATGTGCTGGACACTGTTTCCAGGTCTTTACATATAATAACCAACTTGATCCTCAAAGTTTCAGTTTTATACATGAGGGAATTAAGGCATAAACTCTCCCAAAGTTACATAAATTGTGGACTGGGATTCACACCAGGCAGTCTGGCTCCAGAGTCCATGCTCTTTATTTTTTAATTTTTTAGAGAGATAGAAAGCAAGAGGAGAGGAGAGGGGCAGTGGGAGGGGGAGTTGGGGAGAGAACTTAAGCAGCTGCATGCTCAGTGTGGAGCCCGAACACAGGGCTTCATCCCGCGACTCTGGGATCATAACCTGAGCCAAAATCAAGAGTCAGAAGCTCAACCAACTGAGCCACTCAGGCACCCCAGAGTCCATGCTCTCAACCATCAGGTTGTCCTGCCTTATACATAGTTAATTGCAAAACCCCATCTAAACCAACTCAAACGAAAGCCATTTGCCTGAAACCTCAGCAATAAGACAAGCTCTTCAGGAGGCCAGAAGCATTGGCCCTTTTTTGCTGATTAGAGATGGTGATTTCCCATGAAGTTATCAGTGACGGAGGGGAGTAGTACAGCCATGAGCCAGAGTGAGGAGAAGAGAGAGCATGAAACTATGGCACTGGCTCTCTTCACTTTTTTTTTTTCTTTCTTTTCCTGAAACCGTGCTCCAGAGTCTCTTTTAAATAAATCCTATCCCTTTTCACCTCTCCTGCTTAAATGCAGAAAGCATTTCTATAAAACTAGCATGTGTACAGGAAGCGAGAGTATGGTGGATGAATGAACTGTAAGACAGAGTCCCAGGATGCTGAGAAGGGGAGCCAGCTAGGTCGGATTCTTCTGGAAGCTACACACTACTCCGTAGAGATTTTCCAGCAGTATTGGCCAAGTAGGCAAGGAGTGTTCAATGAGCTCTTTTCCAAAACTTTCTTCCTGGAATTAATTAATTTATATTTTAGAGAGAGAGAGAGAATGAGCAGGGGGAAGGGGCAGAAGGAGAGAGAGAGAATCTTAAGCAGGCTCCACACTTAGGATGGAACCTGACACAGGGCTTAATCCCATGACCCTGGGATCATGACCTGAAGGTTGCTTGACCAGCTGAGCCACCCAGGTGCCCCTCTACCTGGAGTTTAAAGCCAGTTCTTAGATTTTAAATTTGGGAGATTGGATGTTAAATAAGAGTCTCTTGTTTTACTAGATCCTGCTACCTAAACTTAAAGCATGCATGTATCCTCCTAGAGCTGAGTTGGAGAATAATTTTGGGGAAGTCAAGAAATCAAAGCTAAAGAGTCAAAAAGTACAGCTGTCTTACTTTTTGGGTATACCCAGCTGTCTTGGGTATATCAGAAGTGATTAATTTAATCTTAACAGACAGTCTGATTTTCCACCTTGAAGCTAAGTATCAAGTGTGGGCATTAAACGTATACAGCTGGCTTAATACATGATTGTGAGTTTCTGCCTCCTCATTGTTACTGGTGCAAACCTCTGCATCAACAGCAGATGAGAAATAGCTATAGTAGAGGAGGCAGGTCTCCAAATGAGAAAAATATCACCTTTGGGAAATGTAGAAGTCACAACAAAAGGTGAACTTGCTTTTCTAAAGAAATTCTTACCTAATTTCTTCTTGATGTGATTTGCCTTCACTACTAATGTGGAATTTAAAGTAATATGTCATTACTTTATAAGATAAGAGATGAACTAGGCATAAGAACTCAGGAAGGCCAGTCCTTGTTTAGTTAGCCTGCAGAACTCCAGGACCCTGGGGCCATAAACCTAGGGACTCTAAGATCATCTTTTCTTTTCCCACAAGCACTCCTGACCTCTACAAATATAATCATGAGAATGATGATGTCTAGGAGAAAACTGCCTTTTTGATTATTGCTGCCAATACCCCTGGGGTGCGTGTGTTTGGAATCTTAACAGAGGTGGAAATGGAGTCACCACTCTATGAAGACAAACGTGGTGTGAAAGATGGACAGGAATTTAGTCAACAGGAAAAGGGGTGTTTCCTATTGAAGGCTGTGTGGGGCAATGGAAAAACCACAGGATTCTGTCAGACTAGCCATGAAAAAAAACAAAAAGCAGGGACAAGTGCAGAGAGCTGTTTCGGAAGCTCAAATTGCTAGTCATATGGCCTTGAGGAACTTCTCTTTTCTGAACTCTCTTTTCTTTCCTGTGAAATGGGAGTAGACAATATGAGCTAATCCATCAGGAGTTAAAATTTCTGCCTTAGTTCTACCTTTCTGACTTAGTGACCTTGAATAAGTCACTTGGATCTTAAATGTGCTCCTTGATAAAATGGGCATAGTAATTTTCTCTCTTTGGCTTCAAAAACTCAATGTGAACATTAAGTGAGAAAATGGGTGTGAATTGGCTTTGTGAGTTCTAAAAACCATGATGTGCTCTAAAGTACTGTTATTAGAGAATGCACAGCATTTCAGAACTGATGAGATCACTGGAAATTAATACGCTATCACCTTATGTTCTACACCAGGGAAAAGAAAAGACAGGACATAGAAGGTAATTAATTCACTGTGTACGCCGTAGAATGTTAGACGACCAGAAGATGATCGGAATGGGTGGGCTGATGCCTTCACCCAGGTGGCATGCAGTGTGCAACTCCATAAGAAGATAAACCTAGAAAGAAAGCTACGTCACCATGAGGGTCTAGGCATGTGTAGGGGGTGCCAGACCAAGAATTGTTAGTTACAAGTCCACAAGGAGGTAGGACGAAGTTTTAAAAACTTTTGTAGAAATTTTACATTGCTGTAACATCCAAGTATGTGATCAGTGGGCTTTATTTTTTAATATTTAATTTTTCTATTAAATTGTATTCTGCAAGTGGATTGGTCCCTGATGCCTTTGGAAAAGTGGATCTTCAGCATCGATTACAATTTTGTTTGAGAAGTGTGGTCTAGAGTGTTGCTTAGATGAGTTGCTTTTAGCGAACACTCTCAGACAGCAAAGCTCAGAAGTGTTTGACTTGGTCACCTTGACTCTACATTTTGGCTCTCTTCCTTACTAGTCGTCTGATGAGTGTTTAAGTTTTCTAACTCTGTTTCTTTCTTTGTTGAGGAGGGACAAGTCTATCAAACTTAAAGAGTTGGAGTAAAGTTTGCAACATAAACAGTTGAGTGTTCAGTTAATATCAGTTACTGTTTTTATTGGTCAAAGGATTAAAACTCCTGGAAGGAGAGATCTCTGTATGGAGACAAGTACCCTCCCTGACATAGGGACTTAAGGGTCTGGAGCCAAGGACTATTGTTTACCGCAGGGTTGTACTCTGTCACCAAGTGGAGGCTGTTGATCTCAATGAAGCGGCTTAATTTGGTGGCATCAATGCTTTCAATGTCTTTGCTCTCTAAATCCAATTGTTCGTTATCCACCTGGGTAACACAAAAAGGATAAAATTGTCACTGTTCTGATTTTATTTATTCATTGATAAATATTTCTGGACTATCTACCACGTGTCAGGCACTAAAACTCAAAAGACATAAAGGGAAATAAGAAATATTCTCCACTTTCAAAGAACACACTGTCCTGTGGGATACAGAAATGTCACCACAGGGGAATCATGGGCCCATATGTCACCTAAAGGAAGAGCAGAGAAGATTCCAGGAGGAAGTAAGTCTTGAAAAATAGCTAAAATTTGGTTAGATGAATGAGGATGGGGAGAGAGTTTTAATTCGAAAAACAGTATTTACAACGGACAAAAAGATGAGAGATCTTATGTTCTGGAAGCTGCAGTTAGTTTGTCATAACTATAACAGTTAAGTATGAGTGGCAGAGGGACAAGGTTAGTGGGGTAGGCTGGGGCAAACTTCTGAAGGGCCTTGAAGTCAAGCTAAATAGATTACACTCTAAGAACCTGAAGTCAAGGGTTTACATTTACATAATCAGATTTATGTATGTACCCTTTTAATGTGAAAAAATATGCACACACAGAGAAAAGCATGAAACATAAAATGTAAAACTCAGTGTTTAAAAAATTATCACAGAGCAAACAACTGTGGAGCCACCACTTGGGTAAAGAAGTAGAATATTGCCAGAACTCCTGATGCCTTCTGTCTTCCCTTCTAATCCATAATTTGCCCTTTTCTTTTTTTTGCCAAAGGTGACCATTACCTGACTTTTATGGTGGCCATTTTCATCCTTTTCTTTATAGCTTTAGATGCACTTAAAGATGCACTTTTTAATCCTATGGTTTAGTTTTCTTTTTTAAAACTTCATGAAAATAGAAATTAACAGTATATTTTATGTACACATATCTCATTTCTTTGCTTAACATTCTGTATATAGTCATTCATGTCATCACATGTAGCTGAAATTTGCTCATTTTCCTTGGCATATAATACTCCATTGTATAAATATGCAAAACTTACTCATTTTACACTGATGGACATTTAGGTTATTTCCAGTTGCTGATTATTAAAATAATGCTGCAGTGAACATTCTTGTTCATGGGACATAACCGTTGTCCATATACCTTGGATTGGGATTTTTCATTAGAGAGTGTGTGTATTTTTAACTAACAACAACTGCCAAGCTATTGGGGCATCTGGGTGGCTCAGTTGGTTAAGCATTGAACTCTTGATTTTGGCTCAGTCATGGATCTCATGGTCATAGATCCAGCCCCATGTTGGGCTCTGTGCTTGGGATACTTTTTCTCCCCCTCTCTCTGCCCTTCCCATACTCACACATACACACACACTCTCTCTCTCAAAATGGATAAATAAACTTAAAAAAAATGCCAAACTATTTTCTAAAGTAGATAATAATTTCTGCTTACACCTATATTGTTTGAAAGCTCCCATTGGTCCAACACTTGGTATTACCAGCCTTTATAATTTTATTCATTCTGGTGAATGTGTGGTAATGTCTTATTGTGGCTTTAATTGCATGTCCCTGAGTAACCCCTTGTATGTCCTCTTTTATGAAGTGTCAATTCAAATCATTTGCTTATTGTTCTATTGAGCTGTCTATCTTTCTTTCACTGGTTTGAAGATGCTTCTATACACTTTGTTATGTGAGGCTTTTGTTGCTTCTGTATGGCATATCTTCACAGGGACCTTCCCTTTTGTTGGCTATTGCTCATGAACGGAAGGTAATTTCAATGTAGTTGAGGTTATCAATATTTTCCTTGGTAACTAGTGTGTATTTTTGTTTTGTTTTGTTTTGTTTTTTCAACATTTATTTATTTTTTTTTGGGACAGAGAGAGACAGAGCATGAACGGGGGAGGGGCAGAGAGAGAGGGAGACACAGAATCGGAAACAGGCTCCAGGCTCTGAGCCATCAGCCCAGAGCCTGACGCGGGGCTTGAACTCCCGGACTGCGAGATCGTGACCTGGCTGAAGTCGGACGCTTAACCGACTGCGCCACCCAGGCGCCCCTGTTTTGTTTTGTTTAAAAATCTTCGCACCAAAGTCATGAAGAAATTCTCTTATCTCCCATAAACATTATTATTTTATCTTTCACAATAGATCTAAGATCTACCTGGAACTTATTTCTCTCACTTTAAAATGGATGCTTAGATCCTTGATTTTTATCATCATCCTTCTCTAAAATATATATTAAAATCTACACATTTCCTCCTTACAGGGCTATAAATGTATCCATAAATTTTATATGTAGATTTCACTATCATTCAATCCAAATGTTTTCCAATTTCTGTTCTTATTTCTTCTCTAACCTATTGGCTCTTAAGAATTTAATTTAATCTTGTATTGATATGAATCAATATTAATGTTGTAATCAGTATTAACCTTGTAGCTTAATTTCTACATTTTATTTATAGCATTTGTCAACTTCTGCATGTGTTATATATGTCCTTAAAATTATGCATAATCTGCAGTTTTTTAACATAGTATTCTGTATAAACTAATGACTCACTTGGTTAATTTTATAATTCAGATTTTCTATATTCTTATTGAATTGTTTAACCAATTTATTTTATCAAGAGAGTAATATTAAAATCTCTGGGGTGCCTGGGTGGCCCAGTCTGTTAAGCGACTGACTTTTGGTTTTGGCTCAGGTCGTGATCTCACAGTTCCTGAGTTCGAGCCCTGCGTCAGGCTCTGAAAGCCAATTCGCAGGCTGCTTAAGATTCTTTCTCTTCCCCTCTCTCTTTGTCCTTCCCCCACCCCCAAATAAATAAATTAACTTTAGGGGGAAAAAGTATTAAAATCTCCCAACATGATTGTGAATTTAACCATTTTTTCTTATAACCCTGTTAGCTTTGCTTATATATTCTTAGGTCATGTAATAGACTCTATCCTTTTACTTTCTTTTTTTTTTTTATTTAAAAAAAAAATTTTTTTTTTCAACGTTTTTATTTATTTATGGGACAGACAGAGACAGAGCATGAACGGGGGAGGGGCAGAGAGAGAGGGAGACACAGAATCGGAAACAGGCTCCAGGCTCCGAGCCATCAGCCCAGAGCCCGACGCGGGGCTCGAACTCACGGACCGCGAGATCGTGACCTGGCTGAAGTCGGACGCTTAGCCGACTGCGCCACCCAGGCGCCCCTATTATTTTACTTTCAATCTATCTTTCTATTTTACATGTGTCCCTATGTTTTAAAATATGTCCTTTGTAAAAAGCTCAGAGTTGTATTTTTTAATCCAGTCTGCCAATCCTTGTCTTTGCATTGCATTATTTTTTATAGAATGTAATTACTAATATATTTATTTCCATATGCATTTCCCATTGTTTCTGTCTGTTCCAAATCCCACTTTCTTCCATTTCTGGACTACTTTGAATTGACTGAGCACTTTATATTATTCCTTCCTTCCCTTGATTGGCTTCGAAGTTACACAAGCTACAATCATTCTTTTGAAGATAACCAGCATGCACTACACAACATGCATTCTTTAGTTGTCAGAGTCTAATTTTAGCTGGCAATTTTGTCTCTTCCTGGACAATGTAGAGATTAGAACAATTTAATACAGTTTTCCCCCATCCAACTATATACCCTGACCCCACACTCAAGGCTTACAGATGATTATTATTGTGTATTATAATTTTAAATCTCATATTTTTTTGTGAGATTTCTTCATTTCCTCCTGTACTTTTGAGCTTCTATCTGGGATGTTTTGCCCTCTGTCTAGAAAGCACCTTTTAGTATGAGTCAGATCTTTTGGGTGGCATAATCTCTCAGTTTGGTTTCTGAAAATATCTTTATTTCAGCTTTATTTTTCAAGCCTATTTTTGCTGGAGGTAGAAGTCTATGTTCACAATTATTTTCTTTCTGTTTTTGCAAGATGTAATTCTTTATATGTAACATTCCACTCTTTCCACTGAGAAGTCATCAGTGAAATTTAGTATTGCCTTTTTGATGTTGCTTTGAGGGTAATCTCTTCTCTGATTTAAAATTATTCTCTTTTTTTGGGGTGCCTGGGTGGCTCAGTCGGTTGAGCGTCTGACTT